GACACTCGACATGGCCCAAAAAGAATCCAGTTCGTTTAGTGCTCCTACTCAGTTGGTAGAGTCATCTCTTTTGTCATCGGCAATCTCAACCGAAGAAATGGTGGACTCAGAAACAATCGCAACAGTGAATACTAAATATTTCTTTTGCGGAGTTAGTCGGCATCTCAGAGCGAAATGCCCTGCCAAAGACTGCATGTGTCATTCTTGCGGGAAAAATGGACATTTTTCGAAGGTTTGCAGGTCCCGCAACACACCTATAACCAAAACAAAAGTCAAAACATCTCCTAGCTACGAGATTAAAAGACAATCTTGTAGAGATTGTAGCTGCATTAAGGACTCTACACATCTAACATCACTAATTGCTACTTCGTCTGTACCTGGTTTAACTAAATCAACAGTACACATCTCTGTAAATGGCGTGAACCTAAAAGCCCTAATTGATACAGGTAGCAGGGAAAGTTACATTTCTTCAAACATACCAAGAGAGTGTGATTGGTCAGTGACACGTTCAAAGCACAAAATTTCTATGGCGTCATCTCAACTGTCAAGCGTCACAAGAGGCCACATGTTTGCATCGCTAAAATACAAAGGGGAAGTTTACAATCAATTCAAACTTTCGTTACTAGATGAACTTTGCACTGATGTAGTGCTTGGGTTGGATTTTCTCGCATTACACAAAGAACTGATAATTCCATTCAACGGTGGTCGATCTGCATTTCATGTTTGCTCGCTCAGTGCTGTTAAGGTAGAGGCACCACAATTGTTTGCAAATTTATCCCCTGACTGCAGACCTATTGCTACTAAATCTCGTCGTTACTCCTTCCAAGACACACAATTTATCAAAGCTGAAGTTGAGAAATTGATACGAAACGGTATCATTGAACCTTCCAAATCACCTTGGAGAGCTCAAGTCCTTGTCACGACCAATGAGCGGCACAAAAAGCGAATGGTCGTTGATTATAGCCAAACTATAAATAGATTTACTTACCTGGACGCTTACCCAATGCCAAGAGTTGATGAAATGGTGGAGAAAATTTCCAGGTATGAAATCTTTAGCACATTGGATCTGGAGAGTGCTTATCACCAAATACCTATCCAACAGAGCGAAAAGAAATACACAGCTTTCGAAGCTTGCGGTAAACTCTACCAGTTTTGCAGAATACTCTTTGGGGTCACTAACGGTGTAGCTTGCTTCCAGAAAACCATAGATACATATTATAGAAAAAGAAAGTTGTCTGACACGTTTGCCCATGTCGACAATGTAACAATATGTGGTACAGATGTAGACTCTCATAACAAAAATCTGTTGCGTTTTCAGAAGGTAGCTCTGGAATACGGAATAACTTTCAACGAAAGTTAAAGTGTATTTGCTACTAAGAAGGTAAATCTGCTTGGATATAAAATATCCAAAGGACATTTGAAGCCGGACCCTGATAGATTTCAAGCTCTGCGAGTTTTGCCACCTCCAAAAGATCTGAAGTCTCAGAAAAGGATTGTAGGACTTTTGGCATATTATGCTCACTGGATACCCAATTTCTCCGACAAAATGTATCCTATAATGAAAAATCAAATTTTCCACTTACCTACAGAAGTAAAAACAGCGTTGGAAGACTTGAAACAAGAATTGCAGAAAGCAACAATTTTCACCATAAAGTATGACCATCCTCTAATTGTGGAAACAGACGCTTCTGACATCGCAGTAGCAGCCACTTTAAATCAGGATGGAAGACCTGTTGCATTCTTCTCTAGAACTCTTTCACCTAGTGAAAGGCATCAATCTGCCATAGAGAAAGAAGCAACTGCAATAATTGAAGCTATACGCAAATGGAAGCATTATTTGTGTGGCAATCATTTTACCCTCATTACGGACCAGCGGTCTATTTCATACATATTTAAAGACACTCATGACAAGAAAATTAAAAACGATAAGATACAAAGGTGGAAATTGGAACTGGCAGGCTTCAAGTTTGATATACAGTATAGACCTGGGAACGCCAACACAGCAGCAGACACCTTGTCTAGAGGGCACTGTGCAACCATGACGAAACAAAGTAGCCTGAAGACGTACCATGACTACCTGTGTCATCCAGGTGTCACTAGACTTCTACATTATGTCAGGAGAACTTACCCTTCTCTGTTGAAGAGGTCAGACAGACCATTCAACAATGCAGAACCTGCAATAGAATTAAACCGCAATTCTATAAGGAATTTGCAGGTACGCTCATAAAGGCCACACAGCCGTTTGAAAGAATTAGTGTTGACTTTAAAGGTCCTTTGCCATCAGCTACTCGGAACAAGTATTTATTAACAATGATTGACGCATATTCGCGGTTTCCATTCGCTTTTCCCTGTCCTGATATGACATCTAAGACAGTGATAAAGTGCTTCGACCAGTTATTTTTCCTCTTTGGAACACCCAGTTACATCCACTCTGATCGTGGCACATCATTTATGTCCATAGAAACTACAGAATATCTACATTCTAAGGGCATAGCCACTATCAGGACAACGCCCTACAATGCAAAAGGAAATGGGCAAATAGAAAAGCTGAATAAAACATTGTGGCAGGCTATTTTATTAGCATTGGACTCAGGGAAGTTGGAACTATCGCAGTGGGAATCTGTGTTGCCTCAGACACTTCATTCAATTCGATCATTACTGTGTACTTCTACTAATGAAACTTCACACGAACGGATCTTCAAATTCAACAGAAGATCGCCAACGGGAACATACTTGCCTACTTGGCTACAGAATTCAGGGAAAGTATTACTAAAATCACCTGTAAGATCTTCAAAATTTGACCCATTGGTACAAGAGGTTGAACTTATTAGCTGCAACCCACAGTACGTCCATATACGATTTCCGGGAAGAGACAGTGTCGCTTAGGCACCTGGCGCCGAAGGAAAGTTCCACTAACGACTATTTCGAACCAGAGAACGGTATTCTGCCTCAAGAGGTCGGCGACTCTTTGGATCTCTCACCAGGGAGTCGCTACGTGCCTGAAACTATCAGTCCTACCCCAATGATGTACAACCAGCCAGAAGTCATCAGTGACTCACAGGGGAGCCACCCAATGCCAGAGGCCAATATTTACTCGAGTCCCGTACATGACAGTTACGACTTGCAAGGAGAAAAGTCAACGCCAGAGACACCTCCGGATCCTTCCCTTCATACGCATGGTTATAATCTAAGACCCAGAAAGAAATAAAGAAGGGGTGAATGGAGTGATCGTTAAAAGAACTTGTGTGTTACCCGTGCTTGTAATCGTGCTAGTATTTGTAATCGTGTTCGCATTATCGTAGTCTGTGAATCGTGACCAGTCTGTACTGTGTTATTGTGTGTATCAGTCGTGTTATATTGAAATAAAGCCTTGTTTCTAAGGTTATGAATTGATTTAGTATTTTACATACACACACAAAGTACGCACAGCGTAGGCCATCACACACACACTTTTAAATAATTGCAGGCTTTCTGAAACGTTTTCCAAGATTGAGCATCTTTATGTGCGATCCATCTAAAATTTTAAGCGTTAACTAGTCGAATCCGATGCCTCTCTCTCAGATTTTTCTAACGAACTAGCGTCTTCCAAACAGAAAGTTGCATGCGTACTCCTTTGGAGAGGAACCTTTTCATGCTTCTTTTCGTGCATTTAGCCACGTGATAATATTGTTAAAACAACAAAAAAACTGTCACGTGATAGCCATTGTGCATTACGTTATTTGTATAGAAGAGAACCACGTGACTAAGTGTTGTTTGTTTACGATTGGTGAATGCGGTCCATTTTGCCCCTCAATAAACAGAACAGTTGCATGAAATATTGCCCAATATAGTGTAATAACTTAAGAGAGGCAACTCAACGAGGCAACGATGTTTATTCACCGGACATCATCACAAGTACATAAAACATGCTTTTTAGCACAGTCTCTACATGTCGGCTCTAGACTTGGGCGGACAGTGCTCTCGTCCATCTGACGTCAACATCCGTCTCAGTCCAGTCTTTAACAGTGCGCATCCTTCTGCACTATCTTGAATGGCGGTGTGCATGGCATGGCAGGGTTATAACAATAGTGTACCAAATGCAGTCACAATTCAGCACACGGGTTTTCAAAGAAGCTTTTCATAATAGACTGGGTGGGACACTTTGCTTGTGAAAAGAAACATGATTTCAAAGCAGTCTCCCCATATCCTGAGTTCTGCTGTATACTAAGTAGACGAATAAAAAAAAAAGATTTCCGCGAAAAAAAGTGTAAAATTAAAGTTACATTTAGTAGGAGTTATTGTAGCCATTATAAGAAGATTCCAATCTTTGTAACATTTGTTTTTAGATATTTGAAATCGGAGCGAATATCTCTTTTTCTCACATATAAAAAGATTGATGTTTCTTCCAGTAAGTAGAGCGCAGACCTAAAACAATGTTTCTCAAAGTTTTAGAACCAAAGACACCCCCCCCCCCCCCGCCCAAAACCGCTAAAATATATTCGTCCCCCTCCCATTATCCAGCTAGTTGGCCTGTAATCTCTGGGGCAAAAGCGTTTTTGTGCACTGTAAGCTTCCAAAAGTCATTATCATTGGGTCTATTATTCGTAGAACAGAATTTATGAATGATCCAAGATAACCTGTTAGTGAATTTATTAAACAAAATTTAATAAAATACTCTGAAAGACACAAAGATAAAGGCACATTCCTCGTCCCATTTGCTAGGACAAATTTGTACAAATACTCCTTCTTCCCTAGTGCTATTACAGCATGGAATGGGTTGCCTGAGCTAGCCAGGAAAAACAGTGACTTGGCAGAATTTAAGTCATTGGTTAATATGCACGACTAAATGCATGACGCGTTGGACGTACAGCTTACACAATCACACACAGCTTTATTGACTATTGCATTGTTTTCAACTCAGCGGTAATATTATGATAATAGAGCTTAGGTCTTTAGGGTCAACTATTTATTAAAAGAGGAGAACCTAGGTAGGCCGAATATCAGAGGAACAATGAAGACTATTTGAGTCAAACAGTTTATTTGAAGTTGGCAATCCTATACAATGTAGGAAAAACAAGTCAAATAATATTTAGCCAATCACATGATTAGAATGAAAACAACAAAATATTAGATAGAAAATTTACTAACATTGTGATAATCAGAAAACCCGGCCACCTAAACAGCAGTCAAACATGCATGAAAATGTAGGTCTACTGACTTGACAGGACCCATATAATAAAGACAATTTATTCATTTCCTTTTATAGATATTTAGCATATAAACTGAAAAAACAACAATATCCATTCAGATATCTGTTTCTTTGGCTGATGTTTAATGAGGGTGTCATATGGCTAGCACAAGGACAACCGCCTTTACTTTCCCCAACTTAAGTCAGGTACCCATTAGAATTGGGTGGACTCAGGGGTGCCCTAAAATTTCTGAAATTCAAAATCCCAGTCTTCACCGAAATTCGAACCCAGCACCCCAGGTATGGAAGCAAAGCGCTTAACCACTCAGCCGCCACCCTTCAGATATAGGCCCTATGTTCAGCACAAATACATTCTCAACCCCCCCCCCCCCCAAAAAAAAAAAGACACCCTAATAATAGCTTCCATAATTGTAAGTCTTAGAGTAGAAGTGGACTAATTAAACATGAAATATAGTGGTTTGACATGTTTGTTGTTGTAAAATGTTTTACATGTTTCGGATGTTCCTTCAGAGTTGAAGATAATTACTTCCTAGTCCAAACCTCCCGCAGGACGACGGGGGATGGGAGCGGGCAGGGTTTGAACCCTGGACCATCGATAAATCTGAACAACAGTCCAGCGCGCAAATTGCACGATCAGGCAGCCATCCTTATATCCTTTATAGAAAAGTCGATGGCACAGCACCAGCTAAACTAGGTATCTTAACTGTAGTAGGGTGTTCAAGAGATTTCAGTTTGGCCAACAATATTGCTTCGACTGGTTTAGGTATCAAAGAGTGGTAACTGCTTTCAATCATTCTGAAAAGACCAACACCTAGACTTAAGTCTCCAAGATCTATTCATTTAAAACAGGTAATGTAAATCTGGTTGTGGGGTATGTGCATCAGACTGTGATCATGATGGTCAAGTTCAAACCCAGCCCGCTTCCATCCCACAGGAGGTTTGGGCCAGGTTGTCATATTCTTCATTTCTGAAGGAGCGTCACAAACTTGTAAAGCAAATAATTTGGATGCAGATTTAGTATGGACAGAAAATGCCCTCACTCCATAAACCTATTGCTGAATGCTTATTATTTCTAAACTTGAAAACTAGTGGAAACAACAGCGTGAATCATCTTGATAAGTTCATGTAAAGTAATAAAGAGGACCAAATGTCTTTGTACCAGTGGTTCTCTATTTATGAAAAGGATCAAATGTCTTTGTACCAGTGGTTCTCTACCTTGCTTTGAGATATGACACCATTACATAAAATGGAAAGAAAGCTTAACAATAATATATAACAATGATGGGAATTTTCCAAAAATTTCCACTCATTTTTTTTTATTTTTTTTTGAAAATCAGAAACATTAGGGTTGTTTGATAGAGAAGTTACCATGTCATGAAATCACAATTCTAACATGTCCAGACTGCTTGAACCAGCTACAAAGCAAAAAGAAGAAAAACAGGCAAGTATTATATTTAAATAAGTTAAAAATCGTCCTGCATGCACATTTTTGTGTATGCAGAAAAGCACAAGTACTGTGATTTGCAACATTCTTTTTTTAAATACTTAATGCAACCTTTGTTCTCTATATAAATTCAATTAAAAATAATAATTGAAGATAAAGTTTAAAAAACGTTTGACGACTCTTTCTTTGGGTTAACTCAGCTTGTGTAGTAAATTTCCTAAAAGACTGTTCCCATCACAGTATATAACTACATTACATTAGTTGGGCAATACAAACTATTTCCCACAATTTGGGATCTGATTCTAAATACAATTTCAAAGGTGAGTCATGTTATTTTAGAAGCTATTTAGACCAACAACATACACAGATGTTACACAGGTTCAAAGTGATATTATTGCAAGGCTAAGACAAGTGTACAAATGAAAGGAAACAAAGTACTGACACAGAACAGAAAAAAGGTGTAAACAAAATTCATCACACTGAAAATAATATAATGTATAACTAGAAATGGATTTTTAAAAAAATTTGAAGGTATATTAGATGTTCTAATCAAATAAATTGTATAAAAGGAATGGAACAAAACATATCAAACTGAACGGATTTGGTGCCAGGTAGATTATGCATTTACTCATCATTTTCAATTTACTGGTAAATAATAACAAAGAAATGTATTTATTTACACACTGCTATTCAAACAAAATGTATTAGCTACACAACTAAGAAGTGATTCTTTAAGAAAACTAAAGTATATTTGTTAACAGAAATGAAATACAAAACTTCCTTCAACCTAACAATTAATTGCATACACATTGACTAGGAGCTTTAGAACCAGGTACCTTAAAGACCAGCTTTAAGATTGTCTTTAAACTTTTCTCCATTCGCCTAGAACTTGTGCACACAATTCCAATACACTCCCAATTATGAGTACTAAGAAATTTTTTAATCAAGATTTAGTGATTTGAAAAACATTTCTTGGCAAAACTATTTAATGAGACTGACTGGCCAATACAATTGACAACTACAATTTAGATGAACACTGCTCCATCAGACTCTGCTATTTCTTTGGATAGACCACCAAGTGTTGTCCCTTTTTAATGTTGATTAGTCATATAGGTAAAAGGGTGCAGGGTTACCTCTAGTGATAAAAACAACAACAGAATTTTCTCTGCCCAAAGATCCTTCAGGTTTCTTTTATTTCATGAGACTTGTCAGTCACCTTTTTGTGTTGAATATTGCATACAGAGGCGTAAACATTACTTTCTAGCTAGTTCATCAAAATATTCAAACATAACACTAGTAGAGAACAAGGGAGGAATGAAAGGTTTTGAATCGATTATTTTTTTTAGTGGGCTATACAATATAGTTGGTAGTCATTTTATGGTATTACAATCTTGCATTTTTACAAGCAATATCAGGTCATGGGATCATGATTTTGAAAACTGGTATCCTGGTGCTGTGAGAAAATAGTTTGATGCCAGATCAAATAAAATCATAACATGAGATGGAGCTCTGTGATTTAGCTGATAAAAGTTATTTTTTTAAACAAAAGAGGATTGATCTTTATTAAGAAACCACTCTTCTAATGCTTTGACTCTATGGAAGAAGCTTAAGAAGAATCTAGGGCAAGGCTACCAGCCATTGGTAAGATCAACTATAGCAGTGAATAAATCATGAAGACTAATCAAGAAGTTTATCTATTTCTTAATAAATTAGATTTTTTTTTCTTTGGCATTTCAACATGTCTCATTAAAACCTTTTTTTTTTTTGGCCTGTTTTTTTTCCCCCCATTTAATGTGTTTAAAAACCTATGTTTTATTGCATTATGAGTTGAATCCTTGATTTTTTTTTTACAAACAAATGTATAATTCAAGATCACTGTGTGAATGTTATTGGTTTTTATTTAGTTGTGATCATTGTATTGCTTCTGAAAGTATTGAATTGAATAGGATGCTGACCTAACTAAACAAAAAGAGGTCAAGCAAGTTCAAATTTGAATATAACATCCAAGAGTTAAGTGAAATAGATTTGGAAAAAGAATTGCTTTGTTAGAGATTATAAAAGTAAAGTCAAAGAACATTTAGTGTTCACATTGTGATAAAATGATATGAAATGTATTTTATTGTACGATTTGATGATACTGCCATTAAACTGCCATGTTAAATTAGACGACAGAAATTATTTCTCATAGTTAGGTCTTTTACAATTTAAACTACTCATGTTTGATTTGTTTCGTTAAATATTTACTCAAAGTAAACAAGACAACCTTAAGAGCTAGGTAAGGTAACACAGAAATAAATAAAACAGTTCCTCAAAGCTGGGGGGTAGACTGATAAGAACCATCTGATTCTGTTGAAAGAAAAGAAGCTCCACTTTCAATTAAGATCACTATCACTGTGTTGGTTTGACTAATGAAATTCTTCTGAAATTAGAAAATTGGTCATAAAAAGCCTACCTTAACAACACAGGTTGAAATGACCTTACCATTTTTTCACTAACATTTATAAGCGGGATAGGGCCAAAAAAATAAAATACGTAACATTAAATATACAGTTGACTCTTGATAGCGTGACGGGGCACCAAAGTAATTAATGCATACTAAGCTATGTTTGTTTTGAGAATGAAGCTAGGCTTACACTGTAATTAAGTACAGTATGTGAAAGCTGAAATCATGTTTTTTTTTTTAGATCAATAAATTTTTCTTTTTAGTCTATTGCTTATTTTATATCCTTGAAAATCTAAGAGTATATTTATTACATCATAAATATACTTTTCTCAACATAGTCTTAAAGTTAAATTCTTTGAAGTACAGCTAACCTTTGGTAATCCAATGTTTATAGTAAACCTGCACCCCTTCAGTCCTAATCAGACTATCAAGAGTTAATTGTAATTGAAATGTACTACAACAGCCAATGGAACTTCAAGCAATTTTTTTTTCTTAGAATGAAACTATGCAACTGTAAGATTTCTAAAATTTAAAACAAACCTAAGAAATGCATGCTTCTGTCATTTTGTGTAGTTACACCATTTTTAACATAAAAACAATAATCAATGACAAAAGTCTCAACTGATACAATAGAATATATGACAGATATGTTCTTATATTAACAAAGTGAAACAGACATGAGACATTTCCAAAGGTGTCAGCAGCCACTAAAGAGAGGTAAAAGTCATTAGCTGGCGCTACATGTTGACTCTTTGTGTCTCTGGGATGCAAGAAGCAAAATCGTTTATGCTGAAGGCAAAACATTTGCAACAACGTTCAGATTTTTTTTTTAAAGCTTCCAATGACTCCTGCCTTATAATTCATCTTATCAAAGTAATAAACACTAAAACAAATAAGCCACTAATGGTGAAGTGTCAATATTTTCTAATTAAAAAAAAAATGTCCTTACAGTACATAGTTTTGTTCTCTTATTCCTTTCTAAGTGATTTCAAATGAACCTTTCTTTTTTTTTTTTAATTAAATAAATTTATATCATCTTTTACTTTATACAGATTTTGTAATTTATATAAGAATTTCGTTGATTTCTTGCATAAGTGGGAAGCATGGTCGAGAGGCCAAGTGCGCTTGAACTTGGCTTGGCTACCTAGAAGGGGGGCTCGAGGTTCGACACCTGACAGAGTTGCGTTTACTGAGCGCCTAAAGGCAGCACGGAAAACCAACTCCTAGATACCCCCTCCCGCCCACTAGTTCACAAATGAGATTGGACCAAAAGTGCTCTGAGCATGCTATAAGCATGAAAGTAGCACTATATAAAAGCTATAATAATAATAAGTAAAACTGTTTCTCAAGTTTAAACATATTTATTATTCATATTTCTGTAGTGCATCTTCATGCTTTTACTAGAGCATGCTCAGTTTGCTCAACCTTTTTTTTAATGTGTTCCCCACATGAGATATACATGCTTCCTTTAGATACTTAGCAAATATAACTCAGCT